TTCTCCACATAGTCATCTCAGATTTTGACATTAAATGTGCCTTGAGCATTCAGAGAGACATCCAGACGGAATTCACTTGACAGCTGGATCATAAACAAAAGAGAATCTTAATGGTTTGCTACATAAACATGTTGATGGACTTTTGCTGATCACTATCAGCTTAATTCAGTGTACTAACCCACCTTTGTGTACTATGCTCTGCAAGTCCTTTATCAGAAAATGTAACAGGGAAAAGGAAGGATACTTTCAGACAGCATTTACAGGCTCATGTTTAAATATTCCTGAATGAAGTGCAACCAATCAATAACATGAACATATTAAAGAACATCTGTGATCATATTTGCTTAAGTACATATCACTGGTATGATGCATTATGAATTTGTAAGGTTGTTATGGGAGAAGTTAAAGATGTGATGGATTTTTATTTCAGGAAGGAATAAAGGAAACAAATACTGTGGAAACTTAATTAGGTGAATGGGGTAATGCATTTTGAAAGTTGTTTTGTAAAAGTGCAGAGAAATGGGAAATGAATTGACTTATGTAAGCACAAAATTGATGGACCTACTCTGAGATTATATTAAGAAAGTGTCCTTTCGAGGCAAGTTTAGTTCTTTAGGGAATGAAAGAGACAAGTAGAAAATATTTGAAGATGTGGAGTGGGGTAGCCTGGTGATCATTTGGACTCATTGAGAAATCTCAAGAATGAGCTTTGTGTAAAGTATAAAAGATTAGTCATCATCAGTAGTTATTTAACCGTACGATTGGGAAGCTTTAGAAGAGACAAAATGCTTCAAAGAACTAAGTGAAATGTGGGTTGGTTTGGTATGGGCAGCTTTTTAGTAAATATATAATGCATCCATACTATTAAATGATTAATATTCTCACAAACAGATGATTGCTTAATCTATTTGATGAAAACAGAGTAATCTAATGTCTAGGACTTGAAGGTAGCAAAATCGAAATAAATTCAAATAAAGAAAACACAGGTACCTGGATACCATTAATTATTGGAATTATTTACATTTGCATTATTAGCTGACTCCGTAACATACTTGGATTCCATCAACTCTACCTGCCATTCTAAAGGAAGGCTACCATTAATAAACTACTCTGAGAATCCAAAGCTTCTTTACACAACAAGAAAAAAATGAAGATGTCCTCGTGTTTATTCTTGGAGTTCCTGTCTTAGAAAGGTAGGACTTACACCATGTATGCCAAAAGATCATCTGTGCTTGTGCAATAAATCTGATGCAATAAACACCTTGAATTGCAGACATTTCTCTTGACTATTCAAAATATCTGGAACTGGACGCTCAGAGCTGTCAGATCCTGGAAATTCTGAACACAAATGGAAAAAAATAAATCTTCCCAGTCCAAAAAAGTTTAGCTTTCAGGTAAGTTTCTTTAAAGCATTTTCTAGAAAAAAATATCTTTTTTTTTTACTTGCTTCCCTAACCCAGTGGGGAGAGAATGAGTGAGTTGCTCTGTGGCTCTTAGTTGGTGGCAATAAAGTGTCCTTAGGGGCACTTTAGAACAAGTTATTTTCTTTATCTGCTTCTGTTAAAGAGAATGAAGACAGCCAGTAATCAAACCGTTTATCTTTGTTTTCTGTAGAGTTATAACACTGTAGATTGTATAATTCAGTGTAAAAAAAAAAAATAAAAAAAATCTATAAGCATTTAACCTTACATTATATCACATTAAAAAAAAAGGAAAAGAAACATGCTTAATTGAATAGTATTTCATTCTCTTGTCTTTCCAACCAATACTCATTAAAAAGCTGGCTCATGCATATAGGTTTTTAAAGGTGCATTTCTAGTCTTCTGGGTATTTTAGGATGACACTCAATTTCCTGCTGGACCAAAATTCTTCTCTGGGGAGCTCAAGAGATGAATCGTTCCCACTTGCCAGGAACTGTAAAAATCATATTCAACATGAAAGTTGAACTTAGTTTTCATTTATTGTTCATTTTGAAGTTGACCAAAGTGTCAGACTCACATTCAGAAAAAAATCTTGATATAAGCCTAGTACAAAAATTCTTACTCACAAACCTTCTCTTTGAAGACATGATTTAGATACAAGGGCTTATCTGCAGGTCAAGTCCAAAGAGCACACAATTTCACTTGAAAATATGGATACAAAAATGCTGCTCAGCTTCACTGTAAGTACTTGCATGCCAAGTATGCAACAGCAGTCTGTGAGATGATAAAATTACTTTCAGCTGCTGCTTTCTTGCAAAATGGAATGAAGAAAAGCATCTCTTTTTCACAGTGGTGGGTGATACAAGGGACAATATGCAAATATACCTCACCTAAGTCTTATTTAAAGAGGTTTTGGGTTCTTTTCATAACCAGCAGGATGGGGTCATGTACACTGATCTTGCTGTGAAGTGGTGAGGGGCAAGGGCAAAACACGTGGGAATAAAACAAGATGCAATATGAATTCAAACGAAGGGAATTATAAAACTTGATCTAAATTGCCTGGTGGCCTTTCATTTTTGAATATACTATGAGACTATGGAATAAGCCCAGCTATTGATCTGTTCATTAGCTGGCCTTAAGCAAGTTGTGCACACATTATTTATTAATTTCCACTTTCTTTTATGTTTCTAGGAATCTGGATCTTTAGAAGGAAAACTTGCTCTCCATATTCATAGCAAAGTGGTAAGTAATCAGTATTTTGGGAAATGGAACTTCTGTGGGGCAGCTTACTTTAAACAAATTGTATCCTGAAATCTTTAGTTTCTTTCCTCCCAGATTGAAGAACACTGCTGAAATAAACAGGTACAGGGGTTGTCCAATAAAAGTGAGAAAGAATGCAAAATGTAATTACTCAGATGAACCCGTTGTGCCCTATTGTGCCATAAACCAAAGGAGAAACACGAAGAACACAGGAAAAGAAAAATTATCTGCCTTATTTAAGCATAATTTTTCTGTGAATATTTCAAGGACTGCAAAAGACTTTAATCAGCAGTGAAAGACAAAATATCACCTTGAAAACCTAGGAAGAAATAATAACTATGTTTTTATATAAAGCCAATTGTAAGCATATTTGGTTAAGTTTATCCACTCTGTCTTAGCATCAGAGTCTCTCCTGTAGCCACAGTGACCTTGATGCCTATCATAAAGTCTGCCTTGAAAAATATACAAAAAGCTTCTTCTGTGATATGCATGCCCAGAAAGAAGCACTGGAACAGCCATTAAGATGCTGAGCTGCTGCTTTGAGAGTGAGGAAATCAGCAGCAAATGCTAATGCTGGGATGAAAGGGGAGAAGAGGCAGTAGCTGTTATATCAGAAATCTCAGACAGAAAAAGCAAGCTTCTTACTGCTGATTTGAAATGGACCACTACACCAGCTGCTCAAAGGGTCCAGACCATTTCTGAAGGTCCTTCTCCCAGCTCTTCCTGCTCTGCATTGTCCTAGTTTCTGGGATGAAGCCTGCTGTATTGAGGCAGGTATTGCTTGGCAACCTCAAGGCTTCTTCCAGCAAGGCTTTGCCTGCTGTTCTTCATGTTCCCAAACATGCATACTACAGCTGAAGAGAGGAAAGCTGCAATGACACTGCTTTGCAGACACAAATTCGTAATTAGTAACATGACTTGGTTTGCAAAGTTGAAGAAACTACACGGCAGAGATGTCCACACAGGCTGCTGCATATATCCAACTACCCGAATCAGAACACTAAAATATGTTTTATTCAAAATGAGGGCTATATGGTGAGAGCTGTGGCTACAGTTATTATATGTAAGTTTACAGTCCAATCTCTTCAAAGAGTTTCACTTTAAAATACATCATTTTGCTTACACAAATCTTTTATTCTTTAGGCTAGTCCATTTCAAAAGTGAGTAAGATGAAATAAAGTCAATCCTAAACTGCAGGAAAACTATTTGCATAGAGACTTATTTCCTGGAAACCTCTGTGAACCATAATTTTGGTAATGTTCTTATACAAAATGTTTTTCACCTGCTTTTGGTCAGTGCTGCCATTTCCTGGAACTTTTTCAACTGTGGATATCCCACAAGATTTCTAAAGACATCCTCAGAGTAAAGTACTGGAAGCCAGTTCAAACAGTAGCATGTAGGGTGACATTGCCTGTGTTACATCTCATTTAATGCATGCCTGCAAATGCAGTCAGAAAGACCTTTTAAATTAAATTTTCTAATTGGGCTTAGAACCTGAAATCAACTTACCTCCACAGAAGTCAACAATTCTATAACAACAGTAGTACAGATCCTGGGAGTGGGTGAAGATGTGTAGGTGGAAACAGAGCATAATTTTATTCTGCTTTCTTGGTGCTGGTAATGTCATAAACATCCTGCCATTCTGATATTATTGTGTTAATGTTAAAATATTTGGTTGATGCAAATAGGAGTTGAGATGTAATATTCTTTATATGGCATTGCCCAGAGCAAAGTAAGAACACCATGACAACAAGTAGCCTGCAAGCTGTCATGTTATTTGTGTTCAACTTGCAGAACAGCTTATAAAAAGCTATCAGCTGACAGGCATCCTGAACATCAATAGTAATTGAGACAGAAAGAAAAGAAGAATAACAAATGGTGAACATGGAAAAAAAAAAAAAGTACAATAATACACCCAAGTAACAATACTTTTCTATACACTTCAAATTCTCTTAAATGGCAGTCATTTGTTAAAAAATACAACTTCTCAGATAAGCCTTTTGAATGCAACCATATTAGCTTTCAGACATTACCAGCCACACTCTAAAGAACTTAATTAATCAACCCTTCTAACATTCCACTGAACAAACCTATCAAGCAATTATAAAAGTGACAAAGAGGACTACAGGGATATGAAGAGATTTCTTTTAAATGTACATATATTACATAGAAAAAATATCTGAAGAACAACAAACTATGTGAACAGTATCACAGCATTTAAGAATATTGGCCATGCTGCTGTCAGCATCTTGGTAGACATACCTCTTAAACATCACAGCAGTTACTAACCTTTTTTTTTTTATATTTTATTCTAAACTTATTTTTTGAGTTTAGGATTTTGGACTAGCTTATCATGGGTTTGCCAGGTACAGGAGTATTAAATGACATTGAGCAAATCACATTTTTGTATTGGTGAACTTGATCACACAGGTCACTGCCCTGGGGCAATTCAGTCCTGGGAAACAAACAATAAGCAAGGGACTACATATTACACAGCTGTCTTTGTTTTAATGGGACTGTTTGTGAGAGTAAAGTGAATGGGATTTAATCCTTTAATTATTGTTTCATTTGGAATTTAAAGGATGTGAAATTGTAAACAGGTGTTTTAGAACCTGAATTTTTACACACAGCACTCTACCAGCTCACTACAATTTTATATTCTCCCCCAATGAATAGACTTTCCTGGATGTAGAAAAAAATGTAATAGGTAATACAAAGCTGAAACAACCTACTGATTGGCATTTCTGTCTGTCCCAGGGTTTTCTGAGTCCCTTGACATCTTGCACTGGCATATGTCAGGAAACACAGAGCTACACTACCACTGCTAGAGATGCAAAGCAGTATTTTAGCACTTACTTGCGGAAAAATAAAATATGTCAGAAAGAATGCAGGACACCATTAACTGGAAACTGCTATTTTTTTTCCATGTCACAGATTTAGTATAGCTGGTTTCTTTGAATGACACACTGGATCTAATAAATCACTTTCACAGTACACTGCACCACTTTTTTAATAGCAAGGAGCTGAAAATGCAAACTTGTATTTGGTTTCATTAATGATGTACCCTAGTAAAAGTATGAACAATTTTGCTGACAGGCCATCTGTTTGCTGTCAGATAGGAATCAGTAACATGGCCCTCCACTACATCAGGTGCATAGGAACTTCTTGAAGAATTCATCAGGCAGTCCCTAGAAAGTAAACTGCTTAATTGTGCTTTTCTTAGCTGCCACTGTAAGAAATTAACATCTTAATTTTTCTCTAGGTGTGAAGAGAACAAAAGAAAAAACCCACCACCAACAAAAAAAAACCCAAACAAATTAATGATAAAACCCACTGATACGTTCCTCATGCCAGCAAAAAAGAGAGAGGCAATGATGAAGTAAATAGACCATCAAGAATAAGTTTTCTGGTTTTGGACCCAATACATACACTTTTGAAGTTCATAGTGTTACTTCTCAGTAGTTCTTCAAAATAAAAGTTGCAGATCATCTTGGGAAACACTGCTTGGAATGCCAGGGTCATGGATGTAGCTATGATTCACTGAGAAAAGGCAAAATTTTATTTTTTTCGGTACATAGTTTTTGTCTTTAGTTAGATGAGGGTTAACACAAGTTAATGACCTAACTGATCCAATTTGTTTTGATATCAAGAGATTAAAAAAAAACCAACAAAAACAAAACAAAAAAAAAAAACCCGAAAGTTAAGTATGTTCAAACAGAGAAAGGAGCTGAATCTACATTGCATGGTTTTGGATAAGTGCTCTAAGCTTAAGGTTACCACACAAAAGGATTGTCCTCTTGCCATGAAGTTTGTGCTTCATTTTAGAAGACAAGGCTCTCCTTCTAGGAGGATGTTTTTGCTGTGGGACCCTGCAGGTGATGAATTCCTGAGATTCTGGTTAACTTCTCACACTGGAGAACGGTAGCAACAGTTCACTGCTATCTACAGAAGCCAGACTACTGCTTTTAGATGGCTTTGAAGGGACTACTTCTTCATTGTACAGGTACTCGCCGTACCTAGCCTTGGGAATTAGATTCCACTCCAAGATCCAGATAGCTTAAGTCAGGTGTGAGAGCATCCATGCTTCTGTTTGGATTCAGTACTGATGAGCTGCACAGTGCCTGTAAGAGAACAGGGTTTCAGAATTGGGATTCTCAGCATCCTGGATAAGGATGCTAAGTACTGAGTCATTACACTGCAGTGCTGAACTTCTTGTCCATGCCACAGTCATGAACTGAAACTGCCACTGCCTGTCTGGCTAATTCACAACACGACAGAGAAGTTATTTGGGCCAGCAGCACTTGGACCTCTTTAACATCTGCAGAAGACAAGCTGGTCTTTCTTTCTCCTGCCTCCCAAAAATCTTACCAGAGATAAAAGCAGTTTCATAGAATTTTAGCTGCCACAGAACTATAAACAGCTGAGTCAGACCTGCTGGCATTTGCAATATGATTGTTTATCCAATTATTGAAATTGTCAGCTGCTAGCACCTTGCTGTAATAATAAAATACTGATTTACACAAGGCTTTCTGGGGAGCATCTTTCATTCCAGACCGTTCTCAAGTGTGCTGTGAACCCATGCACAAGCTATATATAGGAAGTGCTTCACCCACCCGTGACAGGCAGCCACCTACGGGATGAATCACTGAGCCTCCTCACAGCTCCTATTACCAGGATCAGAACTCAGAGCAAATAAGGATGGTACAATGCTGATCCTTAGCTCCCTCGTGCTTGTTTTTCTGTACACTTATCCAGGCCATGCACCAAAGGAAAGCACTTGGTAATTTTTATTTCTCATTATCTAACTCCCAGGCTAATATCTATTCATTTATTAGAAACACCTGTGTTCTTGCAAAAGAACCCCATGAAACCACAAAATATCTCCTGATCACATTTGGTCAGGTTATAAAGCTTCATCAACACAGCTCTAAGATTACACACATGACCTCGTCATTAATATGCCTCATAGCTATTAATGACTTTTTTATATTAATTTGATAAGACATTTTCTATCACAGAGAAAAAAAAAGAAGGCAAGCCACTTCTCTGTCACTAGAACCATCTCCAGAACTGTGCCTTCAGCTTCTCCCATATCACTCCACTTAGCCTGTGAAATGTTAACAGTGTCACGCTGTGGGATTTGTCAGCTCAGAGAAGGTACTTTTCCATTGCGATTACACTTGTGTCTCAAAGTAATAATGGAAATCATGTAAACATCCAAGCCATCATCAGCTGTAAGAGTGAAGAAAAGCCCTGCTTGCACTGTGCTAACACTGTCTGGGTACTGGAATGATATTATTGAGTCTGCTGAGTCCCACCATATCCCCAATACCTTCTGAATGTCTTCACTCAGCAGGGGCCAGAGACACATAATTTGCCATCCTGCAATAACCATGAAGGAGTCCTACTGAAAGCCGGAGGCATTACTGTCAAAGGATTTATATTTTTTTTTAAATCTGAAACAAGATTATATTCCATGCGGGAGCTGCAGAAAGCCTCATGGAAGCAGCATAGCCTTAACTTTCAAAATCAAATACTTTAGTAAAGAGATGATTTTAAACTTGCAGAATAAGATTTTGTACAAGCTACTGCATTTTTTTTTTTCCAGCTTTTTAGCACAGAGAAGGAGTCTTACATTTTTAATAGAAAAGGGAAATGAGAACAGGTTGAAAGTATATCTGAGCTCTGGAAACAGCTGCAATTCAACTGTTCTTTGGTGTATGTTAACTCAAAGCTCATAATTTTCAAAGTGTTTTCTCAAAGGAAACTTGCTGTTTAATTCAAAACAGTGTTACGCAAAACTAATTTTTGTTTGGGGATTTTCTCCTCATTCTGAAATTCAGCCTAATTCTCAGTCACTGAAAATGTTACATTTGGAAGAAACGCTGCAGATCAGCTGTTGAACACTTTCTACTCCTTTCATCTCGTACTGTCTCATCTTGCAAACTATTCTTATGTCATTATTTGAATACAATTAGTAGTTGGAGTGAGTCAAGGAAGCACACTGAGTCCAGTGTTGCTAGATAGCAACATTCATGTAAAGAGTTGGTTTAGAGTTTTTGACAGGTTTTATATGGACACCCCTCCCAGTTCACATTACACCAAAATTCAGTCACTTTGCTGAACCTCCAGTAAGAGTTTTCATGAATAGAGAAATTCTCATATAGAAAATCTGATAGATCTTTTGATCACAAGATGCAAGATACGGATATTTCCTGTCCATCACCTTAAATACAGGCACAGAACACTTTCATCCATGCCTCTATAATACATTTTAGTCACAAATGTACTTTAACTGGTGATCTTCCTATTTGAATTGTTATTTTGAAGAAATGGCACAAATTATTTCTAATTGAGATTCACAAACTTGTGGAAATGTGTACTGATAGACTATTTCCCTACATAATGAGTCCCATGCCAAACCCCGCTTACAGTAGCATTGAGATAGCTGAGGCACTCAAAAAAATGACAACTGGTGTTGTGTAAGATGCCCCAGTTGGAAACCGTGTCAAAATTGCAGATTTAACATAATAAGGTGTAAAATCACAGGCCATCGTTTATGTCTCATTCTGCTCCCAGCCTTTTTTTTTAATATTTTTTGTTCTAATTTAATTTCTTCCATGGCTTGCAGTAATATATTGTAGTTTATTTTAGCTGCAATCATCCCTTAGTTGTCAATCACTGCTGCGATCATATAAGACAGCATAAATTCTTATAACAATAGCCATAATAGTTTGGAATAAGGTAGAGGTTTTTCACATTTTCATGATTACTTAAACTTTTTTTGACGTTGTGCAGTATTTCATTCCTTTTTATTTCTATTCTGTTTTGGCAAAATTGAAGTATATGTATTTTCAAAGTATTATTAAAACACAATGGAATATGAGATACATTTTGAGTTTAATATTCTATCAATACCCGTATTAGGATTTAGTCAAGATTTGTAGTTATATTTGATGCTTGTTACCGCCTACATTTTAATAGATCCTTTGGGGTCCAGCTGGACGAATAGAGAAACCAATGTGCATTCCATATTATAGATTTTTAATAGAGCACAAATTATTCATAGAGTTATATAATGTTAGAATAAGTCATAATGATTTCTTTAGAAAAATATACCTTACGCTTAACCACACCTTTAAATTTTACAGGTCACAGCTATGCATTTGTTATTATTGTCATGTCAATTATTATTTAATTATAGAGTTTTGCAAATGTATGTTGCAGTTTTATATTCTAAATTAAAGGAAACTAGTAGGGAGGATGCCTTTTGGCAATAAACAGTAACTATTCCTCATTGACAGCACAATAATTTTTTCCAAGAGTTAACTGCCGCTCAAGTATAGATTTCCTTTTGAGCCTTTGGACAGGTAAATACATGGTCTTATACCCACAAAGGACCTTAGAGCAGATAAAACCAAAACATTGACCTTCAAACTTGCCACTTGTCATCTCACTGTGGAGCAATATAATTTCTCCAGGCACAAGAGGCTCCCAAAGGTGCATCTAACTCAGTTGCAAAGTCATTCCCTCGCTCTCTCAGGCCCTATGATGAAATAATTATTTTGGGATAGAAAGTGAAACAGCTTTGGAATTGAGTAAGGTGAAGCTTGTTCAAAACACCTCCTGCCTTGATGTACTGGCACACTCAGTCAGAACTGCATTCCTGAATTTCCTATTGGAAGACACGAAGATGAGTTTTCTGATGTGACAGAAAAAACTTTACTGTGATTCCTGACTGGATGGACTCATCATCATCAAGTCCAAATTACCTGCTCTTGCAACATATTTCTTCTTGACTGGCTTGGCTTCAATTCCTGGTTGCTCTCAGTCCCCACTTTCCAAGGTTAAGTTATGCAAAGATGAGCTTACAACTTGGCAATAGCTTCCATCTCTCTTTATCCCCATTTTCAAAACTTGAAAACTATTTCCTTGGTTTATAGGGCATATTGAATGCCAAATAAACATGGTACTGTGTGGAGATGCTCAGACATGGGCTCAGGGAAATCAGGACATCCAGGCTGCTCCTCATGAAGAAGTACTCCATGAAAGCTTTGGCAAACCTGACTGTGACTGAGTCTTCCACACCTCAACTCATTATTCTTAATTCATAGGAATGTCTTTGGTTGTTCTGACCCTCTGGAAGCTCTGAAAAACTGGTGCTTAAGTATTATTTATCAATTTTCATTAAAAAAAAAAAAAAGATCAAATTCTGTGGTTGAAATCTTACAAAAACTATTATGATCAAAATGATATATATATTAAATTATTTGCTGTCATAAGAAATTTAGAAAACTCTCATCTCCATGCTGAAATAAAAACTTGCTCAAAATATCCTAAATTTTAATTAAAAAAAAATTGGATTTCATCCTGCTTTGATCTAAACAGTAAAGCTTTTTCCAGCATCAGAGTCTAATTTCACCTTTTAAGGAGTTACTAAAATGCTGAAGCTTTGTTGTAATAAATCTCAGCCTATAAAGGGAATTTTATTGGTACTGTATTAATCTCTCTCTTGAAAATTCTGTCAAGGTCATAATAATACTACTATAAATATAAATATGGACAGGTTGCCTCAGTTTACTTAATCTCAAGGTCCTTATGGGTTCTTATGCCAAACAGCCTCATAACAACTGAGACTTTATTTTGTGAAAATGCTTTAAAATCAAGACTCAATTAACGAACCTCAGCCAGCCATGAACTGATGTATATCTCCACATTCTGCAGTTATTCTTTTACTAATTACAGCTCCTCTTTTAATTTTTAATTAAAGAAAAAAAAAAAACACAAAACCCACCAAAACCCTCAAACACTGAAGGTGAATTTATAAAAATATATATTTCTTTTTACAACCTTGATCAAGGGTGACTTTGCCAGTATAATACCCTTTTTCTCCCTTCTTAGCCATTTGACCCCATTAGAGTTACTCTGATTATCAATTTAGGATAAAATCCAGG